CTCAACAAATTAATACAGACAATAAATCAGTTGCTCACATTGTCTTTGCTCAGTTGAGTAAATGTTTACAGGATTGGTTTGGAAATGTTTGAATTTCTATGTGTGTGTGCGTGTGTGTGTGTGCGTGTGCGTGTGTGTGTGTGTGCGTGTGTGTGTGCGTGTGTGTGTGCTGTGTGTGTGTGTGTGTGTGTGTGTGTGTGCGTGTGTGTGTGTGTGTGTGTGTGTGTGTGTGTGTGTGTGCTGTGTGTGTGCGTGTGTGTGTGCGTGTGTGTGTGTGTGTGTGTGTGTGTGTGTGTGTGTGTGTGTGTGTGTGTGTGTGTGTGTGTGTGTGTGTGTGTGTGTGTGTGTGTGTGTGTGTGTGTGTGTGTGTGTGTGTGTGTGTGTACATTAAAACAGCTGCTGGCCGCTGCGATCGCCCCTCCTGTTTATCCTGGCTATGAAGGAAGCCTCTCTAGTGAAAAAAATGTGAGACAGAATCCACATGCCTTAAAGACTATATGGAGCTTCAGCAGTGAGAGTTTATGACGATAAGCAAAGGAATAAAAGGGATTTGGATTCAGAAGTAAATGAATTTGTAAAACAGTTAAGGAGGAACAATCCAGTGACCAGTGAAGCATTTGACGTACAGAGTTTGTCAGTATTATATCAAGATTTCATGAGTCCTTTCATTAATTCAGCACTAATTATTTCCCCTGTCTCCTGAGGGAAGGTATCTGCTTCATGGTTACAGACACACATGCAGTGGTGACAGTACATTTACTGTCTATTTGACAAACTTGTACGTTACTTGAGTATTTCCATTGTGTGCTACTTTGTACCCTTACTTTACACATATATTTTGTAATATATAAATGAGAAAGGAGACATGCTGCAGAGTTGGTACTTTTAATTTTGATGATTAAAGTACATTTTGCAGATAATACTTTTATAAAAAAAAAAACAGGAATTTCACTTGTAATGGAGTATTTTTTAAGATTTTATCCATCGCAAAATGGATTCAAAGGATGGTATTTCTACTTCTACTTGAGTAAAGGATTTGGTATACTAGTGTAAACAGTATCTCACATTAGTTGTATGTTGAATAACAACATTGAAATGCTCTTAATTGTAATTGTTGATGATACAGAAAATAATAATATGATATGATAAAACAGTGTGAAAGGCCTTGATGGTTCTACTTTTACTCCAGCACAGGATCTGAGTCTGAGTACATGCAGTGAGTAAAGTGAAGCTGCAGTTTACCTGCAACATGATGGGGGGGGTGGGCGGGTACGTCTGCGATCCCTCACAGCTGCCCGAGTTCTGCAGAAAAGACAACATAAACAATTCATCGTTAGTCTTGTACACAAACTCACCATGCGTCCTCAAAAATCCCTCTTATTTCACATCTCTCCATTCTTTCTATTTTAAGATGTGTGCTGTTTGCAGGACGACAGAAAAGCGTTTAGCCTCCGCTTTAAGGTGTCTTTGAAAAGGACTCAACACCTGCTGCAGGTACGGCGTAGCTTTGGATATAAGTGCAGTGTTTCCCACAGAATTTGATTCTATTTGTGGGGGCACCATAACCCCCCCCCCGGCAAGAAAAGCCAAAGGCCCCTTAACCTATTCGGGTGGTCCATGCATCCACCCCCCCCTCAAATAAGATAATACATGCGAGTTCATGGCTACTGTAGACAACGATCTTGTTGCTCTGTGTTGAGTTGAGGATCTGTGGGGTTTACTCTCCCAAAAATATCATTTACAATTCAGGCATTTAGCAGACGCCTCATTCCAAAGCAACTTACAATGACCAATTACATGGACATTCTCCCTGGGGCTAAGTGCCTTACTCAAGGGCACACTAGTAGTGGTGTTCCAGGCAGGATTTGAACTCGCAACCTTCCGATCATCAGCCCACCTCACTATCCATTAGACTAAAACAAAAACAAAAAAATAATAATAATCATAATAATAATTATGATAATATATATATTTTTTTATGAGATCCATTTGTGGCGGACGATATTTAATTGTGGTAGCCCGCCACAAATAAATCAATGTATGGGAAACACTGAAGTGTGTTTTTTCACGAGTGTGTTGCAGGTGCTGACAGGCGTGACAGTGTGTGAGAGATGCTTCCTCCTCACCTGAAGAGAACAGTTGAGGTCTCTGGAGAGTTTGATCAGCTCATTCTCCACAGACTGGCAGATGGGACACCCGTCGCCATGCAGCGCTACGCTGTTCACCAGCAGGAAGCTGAGCACAGGGAGGAAATACACTCAGTAACTCTGGCACAAAGTCCAAAAGAGCTGCAGAGATTAATCGTATTATGCTGTTTTCATTCTGGGTGCTTTAAAGAGCTGATTCGGAGGTTTTTAGGAGGGGTTATATGAGGTACTTATCCAGAGTCAGTATGAGATTAGGGTTAGGGTTAGCTCATACGCAGTTTGGAGGAATCAGAATTGGGTTTATAACCAGGTTGGTTAAACATACGAGGAATGTTCTCAGTATAACTGGTGCATACAGACAAAGAAAGAGGACATCTTTTTCAAGAAACAACTTTAAAAAAAAAGACTATTGTAACAATGAGGCAATATTTACACAAAAAATCCAAGTACAGTCGATACTAAATGATGCATTGTATTGCTATGGACAGGGGCAGCAGGGGGATGCTTTCTGGCCACATAAATAAATCAATATCAGTTTGTATTTCAAATATTTTCACCACTTTATCTTCCCGTCAGACAGCCCTTTCCGACGGGGGAGAGAAGCCTTTATATCCGTGTCTGTTTTCTTAACAAACGCCAGACTCCATTGACTTCACAGATCATGGGAGATGCTTTTGTACTGCTGCCTCGGTCAGTTAGTGTGTTTGACTTACTTTGGTGTTTTAAAGGGTTAGTTTGGATTCAACTAAATCGCACAATAACACCAACACGCTAAGTCATCGATGCTGGAAAGTCCGGCAACTTCAGTTTTTGACAAAGTAAAAGGACTGGAGTCCGGTGCATAGGTAAGGGTTTCAGTTAGGGATGGCTGACGTGATGTAAGGCAGTGAGAATATGATACATATAGTGTACACCTCAGCAGATTATTTTTAGATGGCCATTTTTTGAGGAGGATTAAATGCATGTTGCTGCTGCCCACGTTCACAGTAAGACACTGCTTTTCTCCATCTGTTTCCAAACTGGAGAACTCCTTTAAACTACTTTATTTGCAATAGAAACCTAATTAAATTGCTTTCAGGAAATCCAGGACAAACTTCAAGGACTTTCAGGACTGTGACAAAAATAAGCGAATCCATAAAAAGTAGGTTTGCTGCAGCAGCACAGTGTGAAAACAGGGATGCAATTTGTCATTTTGTTTCTGTAAGTAGAACACTTCACGGCCTGTGTTCTTTTATTAAATCACGTTGTTCTATAATAGACTGACTCAGTGGATTAAACCTGTGACCTTCAAGCTTTCTCAGTTCAATTCCTGCAGGTTTATCGCCGTGTGAATTGCATCCTCTTGTCACTCACTTGACTCCCTTTTTGGTGACGATCCTGGTGGAGGAGGCGTTGAAGACCTTCTCGAAGCGCTGCAGTTTGAACCAGTCCATCCTGCAGGGAGACACAACACGCTCGTCACAACGTAAACAACGACAAAACAAGGAACCTGCTGCTCAGTCTGCTCGAGCTCTGTCAGCGCACGAGTCTGATCAGAGAACATATGTCTGCATTTTCCCACATTTCTGAAATCCAGGCATCGAAGACTGAACTGCAGGATGTTTTTGTGAATCCTTTGGTATTAGCATTTGCCACGACATACAGAGGGGGAGGGAGGGGGGGCACAATATGACATCCAATACAGGCTCTAAAATAAGCATAATGTATAATAAAGACCTCTGTGGTACAAGTAAAGCAGTATAATGTCAGGTGATGCTTCCGGGCTCTGTGGATGTGGTTGCGTTTTTTTTTTACATAGGCAACGTATATCTGGAACCAACTCCCTTTAAACAAACAATCTTCTTATTGTAAACCAAAGATGAATACTTTGTGTTTGCAGCTGATTTTGTACACTGTAACTGTGATGTCTAGTCTTGCATTGTATAACTGTATTATTCTATGTAACCTTGAGTCCTTTTGTATTCTCTTGTCCTTTGGGTTGTTTTTTTTAGCACTTTGTCCTGATGCTTTAGATATTTTTTATGTTATGCTTTGTTGCTGGAATGTGCTATGTAAATGAACTTTCCTTGCTTTTTGGTTTTCTGACAATATACAAAACATAATGACGTCTGAAAACTAAACTCCAGTGTCCTTACAGGTATCTATGAACCTCTTTATTGCATCATTAGAAAGTATACCCTTGAAGGTTATGGACAGTCCTTTTGTTCTCACTGTTTGCTGAGTCGCTGCAATAGGAAGAGGGTTCTATTGACATTTTTCTGGCAGCTAACGTGACACACTCCCTGAACTCTGCACATTGTTATCCTGATTAACCTGAACCTGATCAGGCGGTTTATTAGTCTGAAGGTTGAACAATAGGAAAACTGCTCTTACTCATAATGGAAGCCGATGTCGTGATTTCCAACCAGCACAACCAGTTCTGTTTCAGCCGAGTGTCTGAACATCCTGTGGAAGCGCCGCACGTCGTCCTCCCAGTGCTGCAGAGAGAGAAACAAAAACAACAACACAAACACACGGGTTCAGCACAGCCGTTAATAAGACAACAGTCCTCTGGGAAGCTCATGAGAGTTAATGGGATCTCTGAGGGTCACCCCGCAGCCCCCATGGGTGACTTAGCTTTGATTTAGAGCCAGTGTTGAACCTCAGGGGCTGAAGACGCTCACAGGAAGCCTTTAATTACATCAGAGCTACGAGATGTTTTCATACTGATTTCTCTAAATGGCTCTTGAGGCTGGTTTTAATTAGGGCTGACTGACAGATGATTCATCGACATTATTTTAATAATAATCGAGTCATCTTTGAAGTCAATTTTCCGGCAAAATTGTAAATTACGTTATGTAATGTGCATTTTCTTATTTTTTTGTAAAATGTTTAAAGGGTTCGTATTTGTATTTTGTGCCTCTCCTGTTTACATGATTTAATGTTCAAACATTAATTTATTATTCTCATACTGCCTGTGCTGCAGCACCTCTTTTAACCCCCTGATTGGTCAAGTGCTTAGAGATGTCCCGCCCCTTAGCCTATCACGTACAGTGTGTCGGAGTGCTAGCCAATAGAAGCCCGAATATTACGTCACTATGTTACAGAAGTAAACAAAGGAGTCACTAAAACCTATACTGTATAACACACTACAGGAAAGTGAAAACCAAAAAAGCATAATAGGGCTCGTTATATTTGGGTTTTGGTCAATGCAATTTGAAGACATTTTGAATACTTTTATTAAATAAAAAATTCAGTCAAAACAGAAAAAGAATCCCGAGTTGCGAGTTGCCCTACTTTAGGTACAAATCATCATTTTGCAAATTCAAAGCTTTGATTCCTCCAAGAGGAAACATCAGGTTAGTCCCCTCACTGTTACAATAAATGCATTTTTAAACAGGTCTTGTATTTGCTGGTTTTAAGGAGGATTTTCTGTGAACAATTTCTGAGACAAAAGCATTTTGAAGCCGTTTGTTTAAGGTCCTGGAAGGTGTGACCTTTATCCATCACTATTTTATGAGGTGTGGACTATCAAGAAATCAAGAAAATACCTGACAGATTAATAGACAATGAAGATAGTTGCAGCCCTATTTCAAACAAAACAAGCAACTTGTTCTTGTAACTTTCAACAAGCTTTTCTTTCTTTGTTTCTGACATGTAAACAAATCAACCTAGAATATAATTGACACATGGAACCCTGATGAAAACATTTAGAAGCAGAACCACTTTAAGTATTTCCCCGTCTACACATTCAAAAGCTGTGTGTCCTTCCTCTTGCAAAACATCCAGAATACAAATTACACAAGAGCTGTCAGCCAAGAGTGGAAATGAATGAGGAAGCTGACAGGGAAACAGAGTGGATTGGTGCAGATTTTACCGTCTGAACGGTTTGTTTTCTGTTTTAATGAGGCTTTCCTCTGAGTTCACAGATCACCATTTGACAGTCCAGTAATGAGTGAGTGAGAATTCCCAGAGGAGGTTTTTAATCACAAAGCCTGATGCATGTTGGGATGAGATGATTCATGCTGTTGTTGTTAATGTTTTCTTTTTAATCTTGCAGGCCTGGATGTTACAAAATGATGATGATCGGCCTCTGCTCTTCCACCACCACAACCATCATCCTCATCCTCATCATCATCATAAGCACAGTGGGTTTGCAGATAAGGCACAAAGAGAAAAAGCTTACCTTCTGCGAGCTCCACTTGCCTTCGTCGAAAATATCCCCGAGAATAACACTATTTCGGGCTTGAGCAGCCACAAAGCGGTCTGGAAAGCCCTCTCCATCTGCCATTCCCTGTGCGTGTTTGGAGACAACAAGTAAGCGTTATGGCTTGTTTTTGTTTACACTCCTGCAGAGCCATGAGCACAGACGATAAAAGAGGAGTGATGGATTGCATGAAAACAAAAAAAATGACAACCCCTACCTCCTCAGCTTGTCAAACCAGTGTCCCCCCACGGCTCCCAGGAGGTGGGTGTCAGACAGCACCATGGCGCGGACAGATGTGGAGTCCAGTGGCCGGCCGTCGATGCCCTCTCCACCGCCTCGAGCATGGCTAATCTTCGGCCAGGCACACTTGAGGATGGTGGGGAAGTAGATGAGATACTCGCAGTAGAAGAAAGCACCGACCAGGAGAATCAGCACCAGCAACACCACCCATCTGGCGCTAAACCTCGGCATTTCTGCGTTATTCTGAGGCTGGGATGCCCTGACTTTGCGCACTGGCGGCGGTGATGGAGCGATCCATGAGGCATCTTCTTCTCTCCAGACCCGAACACTGCTCAGGTCTCCAGCCAAGTGATGCTCATCATGGAGAGCCGCTCTGAGGCTGCGCCGGATAAACAACAAATAAATAAATAATATATCCGTGTGGATAGCTGGTGATTAAAACAAATATTGGATAAAAAGTTAAAAAATAAATTCCTCTGCTCGTGGCAGCCGAGAGGAGCTGTCAGTCTGCCGCTGTTTCCAAATCAAAGATCTCCTCTCCGCTTTTGAATCTCAAGCTGGAAACAACACTTCCGGTGATAGGCTTTCAAAATAAAACTTTTTATAGTTTACAATAAGGATCACATTGAGCCTCAATGCATTTAAAGAACAATTGTATTGACAACGGCAACTACTTTGCACACGTTATTATGTAGCCCTATATATATTTTGTTTATAGTGTATTTAATAGTAGGTTATTCTATAATAGTGTATTACTAATTTATTCTGTATATTTGTATGTTGTGTAATCTGGAAATACTCATTAGATATGTATTTTTTGTATTGTTAATTTGTACATACACTAAATTAGCTGTCTCTTTGTTTATTTTTCTGTTTTACATGCTACCGTTACAAAAATAAATCCTAATTTAGGATTAAATAAGTACATTTGATCTAATCTAAATCTAACTATACAAATATGTGTTTGAGTAGTGATGAAAGAAGAGCAACGTTGAGTTTTACTTAAGTTAAAATAGCAATATCAAAGTGTAAAATCCTGTGTACTTAAATAAAATCACATAACACACTATTAAAGTATACAAAATGGCTAATTTCATTATTATACATATAAACGTTCTGAATCTAAACTTATTTTGTTCCATTTACGAGGTCCTAGTATAACACATTTCATAACCAAAGGCAACCCAATTGACAAATATTAAAGGTAAAAAACGATCATACAATAAAAGGCAATACAAATAATTCAAGCAAAAGCACACAGAGTAAAAAAATAATACACACACACAACCACAAGCCCACAGAATGAATACAAAACAATGAAATAAACACACATACCTCAACACAAAGGCAAAACAGCTCACTTCCGGTTTCTCTCTTGCTGACACCTGCGAGCTTGACTGTGTTTTTGAAGAAGATGAGGGATGGTTGGCAGGGGAGAAAGTCATTTATTAAAAAGCCAAGCTATCAACTATAAAACTGTTGATAAATGTAAGAAGAAAAACTGTTTTTGTCCACAAAAATACCTTTAGATGGAAATGATCCAACAACTATGGGACAAATGGGATTAAGTGATTAAGAGACACAATCTAATCATCCTGAGCCTCCTTTGTATTCGCAGCTCTGAAACCAGAGGAGTTGGAAGCTCACAGGACGTCTCTGACGAAACTCACTAATCACAGCCCACGGTTACCTGCTTAACCAGTTCTGATTCAAAGACTCAGTCAGTCATGTATGTTCTTCCCACACATGCCCATAACAGGCCCCTGCCGTTCTCCCTTTGTCTCTAAAACAATAATCGCCGCTGCAGAAAAACAGACTTTTTGTGCAAGATTTGAGTCGTGCAGAATGAGGAAGCTGCAGCAGTGAAAAGTAGAGCAGTGCACAGCAACATCCCGGGGGGGGGGGGGGAGCTGACACATGGCAGAGTGATTAAAGGGCAATGAAGACTTATGATCGAGAATGAGCATTTTTGTCTCAAGAAAACCATTATAGAAAAGGGTATGGAGCCTAAAAATCTCTGATCCACTCCAGATGTTCAAACATGCTTTGGTCCACACTCCCAACAGGCATTGAAGACACGAAGAGTATTTACTGAACTGTGAACTGTCCTTCAAATGTACAGCTTTATTTTAAACCCTCAAACCGAGACCCTCAGCTTTAAGTGTGAAAGAGAAAGTGCTGAGAGATTCAGTAATACCAATAAACACACATGAGTAATTTGGAGTGACTCCTTGGAAAGAAGAAAGAAATGCACTCTTTTATGCTAATAAATCCTTTCATTCAGTTATTACTGGGGACAATGAGATACTCAGTAGATTTCTGGAGCTTTATAGGGGGTCGTTAACCTAAGGGAAGCTCAAAATCTAGATACAAATGGCAGAATTCTTTGTCTGAAGTCAGTTTGTTAGGCTAGTGTTCAGTATTTCTCCACATTATTTAATTCCCAAAGTAAAAACGCATTTGAATCGCCATTTAGAGCTTTTAGTCAGGAGTTAAAAGGTTGTTTACACTTAAAAAACTAACTGTGAGAGTTTGTTAATTACAAGGCTAAGTGCAACCCACACACACAAACAAACAAAAAACATTAAAACAGACGGGCGCTGTAGAAAATGTTATGTTATAATAGTTAATAGTGGACTAATTTCAGCTGTGGATTAATACATATTGATGTGTTTTTGGATTAACTGGAGCCCTATGGCACAGAGTAAAAACATATCAAGCTATATCTAACTTCTCTAGGATACAGAACTTTTATTGTCCTTGGTAGTTGCCAAAAACAACAACATCTCACCTGCCCCTTAACAAAGCGTTACTAATAATAAAAAAAAAGTCAAGTAACACACATGATAAGTGTATTCCTGTTATTGTGGGGAGATCGTTTTTAGATTTTGCTGTTGAGAAATAAAAGTTGTGATCAATACAATTCAACATAGTTGTCGGATTAGCCACGTTATTCCTTCTTTAAGATACATCTGTTCTCCCAGCTGGCTCAGTCAGTGTGGGTTGGTTCTCTCAGGCTTCCTTAACGCAGCCAGGATTATAATATGGAAGAATGCCTTAATATGAGGACTGAATCAAACTCTGGGTGATTAAAGCCTCAAACTGAAACATCAGAGTGGAAATTCACTAAAGTGTGGGGTACCTGCCTCAGATTCATTAATGGAAGGGTTTATTGGACAGTAATTTGAAAAAATGAAATGAAAAAAGGCCTTAATGTCGTGGGTTGCTGGGGAGGATCATGTGACCTGTCGTGCTGTTGTGTTTTCTGTGTGTGTGTGTGTGTGTGTGTGTGTGTGTGTGTGTGTGTGTGTGTGTGTGTGTGTGTGTGTGTACTTCGATACCTGCAGAATACCAACAAAAATATATGTTTTGTACTGTAAAGATCCAGGATGTTTGAGCAATAAAGAAAAATCCATATGACAAGAGAAATTAACAAGAAGGCCTATAAAATAAAAAACTCGGAGTCCTTAATGGCGTGATATGTGTAGGCAATGCTATCGTTTACGTAACACCTGAATGCGACAAAGACGACATTTCCATGAGTCAGGTGTTCATATTAAATGACTGACTGCTCGACACTCATTAGAAGCTGTTCGTGCAGATGTTATGCAGCGCTGGTCAAAAGACAAAATGTAGCTGTGATCCCCCCC